AATGGATGGTGAGACTCATATAAGGCTGTGTTGCTCTACTCATCCACATGTCCGTAGTCAACGCATAATGCGTCGCACCACTGCGTACCTCTCTCTCCACTTCAGCCCGACAACTAGCATATAAGCCAGGCAGCTCCACTTTACTGAAATGTTTTCGACTAGGCATCACATATCTGGGATCGAGTGTACGGACGAGGTCCCGAAAGCTGTCTTTCTCGACTATGTAAACGGGGGCCATGCCTTTACAGATATAGCGTGAAATAGCACCTGTGATCTGCTTGTGTCGCTGAGACGTCTTCTCATATTGTGATCCTTGGGCGAATGCTTCCTTAAGCTTCGGCTGTGAGAATTTCTTTCCAGTGCTTCCTGTATTTTCATCCCTTGTTTGTTTTGATCGGAGTGGTTGTAGTTTCCCGTGTTCTTGTTCATGATTTTTCTTCAGGTGGTAAAAGAGGCCGGAAGTATTTGCATCAGCCGCTGGAACGGCTTTGCTGCACAGTTTACATATCGGCTGCGTTTGTTCTTTATCAGATGGCTGAAATCCGAAATACAGGTGCTGGTCATAAAATTAGAATATCATGAAAAAGTAGATTGATTTCAGTAATTCCATTTAAAAAGTGAAACTTGTATATTATATTCATACATTACATACAAACTCATATATTTCAGATGTTTATTTTGTTTAATTTTGATGATTACAAATGACAACAAATGGAAATCTCAAATTCATCATATCAGAAAATTAGAATATTGTGAAAAGGTTCAAAATTGATGGCCCCTGGTGCCACACTCTAATCAGCTAATTAACTCAAACCACCTGCAAAAGCCTTTAAATGGTCTTTCAGTCTAGTTCTATAGGCTACACAATCATGGGGAAGACTGCTGACTTGACAGTTGTCCAAAAGACGACCATCGACACCTTGCACAAGGAGGGCAAGACACAAAAGGTCATCGCTAAAGAGGCTGGCTGTTCACAGAGCTCAGTGTCCAAGCACATTAATAGAGAGGCGAAGGGAAGGAAAAGATGTGGTCGAAAAAAGTGTACAAGCAAGAGAGACAACCGCACCCTGGAGAGGATTGTGAAACAAAACCCATTCAAAAATGTGGGGGAGATTCACAAAGAGTGGACTGCAGCTGGAGTGAGTGCTTCAAGAACCACCACACACAGACGTATGAAAGACATGGGTTTCTGCTGTCGCATTCCTTGTGTCAAGCCACTCTTGAACCACAGACAGCGTCAGAAGCGTCTTGCCTGGGCTAAAGAGAAACAGGACTGGACTGCTGGTGAGTGGTCCAAAGTCATGTTCTCTGATGAAATTAAATTTTGCATTTCCTTTGGAAATCAAGGTCCCAGAGTCTGGAGGAAAAGAAGAGAGGCACTTCATCCACGTTGCTTGAAGTCCAGTGTAAAGTTTCCACAGTCAGTGATGGTTTGGGGTGCCATGTCATCTGCTGGTGTTGGTCCATTGTGTTTTCTGAGGTCCAGGGTCAACGCAGCCACATACCAGGAAGTTTTAGAGCACTTCATGCTTCCTGCAGCTGACCAACTTTTTGGAGATGCAGATTTCATTTTCCAACAGGACTTGGCACCTGCACACAGTGCCAAAGCTACCAGTACCTGGTTGAAGGACCATGGTATCCCTGTTCTTAATTGGCCAGCAAACTCTCCTGACCTTAACCCCATAGAAAATCTATGGGGTATTGTGAAGAAGAAGATGCAATACACCAGACCCAACAATTCAGAAGAGCTAAAAGCCACTATTAGAGCAACCTGGGCTATCATAACACCTGAGCAGTGCCACAGACTGATCGACTCCATGCCACGCCGCATTGCTGCAGTAATACAGGCCAAAGGAGGCCCAACTAAATACTGAGTGCTGTACATGCTCATACTTTTCATGTTCATACTTTTCAGTTGGCCAACATTTCTATAAATCCTTTGTTTTTATTGGTCTTCAGTAATATTCTAATTTTCTGATATGATGAATTTGAGATTTTCATTTGTTGTCATTTGTAATCATCAAAATTAAACAAAATAAACATCTGAAATATATGAGTTTGTATGTAATGTATGAATATAATATACAAGTTTCACTTTTTAAATGGAATTACTGAAATCAATCTACTTTTTCATGATATTCTAATTTTATGACCAGCACCTGTATAACCAAACAACCGAGCTGCCTCCCCTTTTGGGCAAAAGTGGTGTTTGTTGTGTCTGTGACCTGGCAACCTTTTTAGACTCTGTAACCGCTGCTGTGGTAACATCTTCTTGGGTGTCCATCATTCTTTTTTTTTCAAGCCAGAAAGACGTAAAGCGGTGTAGTGTCGCAAAACCACGTTCTCTACACATTATCTTTTTATTCTCTTTTTTTTTCGTTATATACACTTAGAGTTTGCATAGCAAAAACGCAAAATGTTATATTAACAAATTATATTAAAATGTATATTAGCAGTAATAATAATAATTAAAAAAAGTTTTTCACGATAGAAAAAATAGAGGAGAAAGGTCACGATAGACATGTTTCTCTTGTCCTCACGATATATATCGCCATATCGCCCAGCTCTACCATGAGGACCATCTGACAATAAAAAATGTTAATTTTTGTTGCATGTTTTAGGAAAAGGAAAATAGCCTATATGTTTTTATATATTCTTAGGAAAAGATCCACTTTTTATTAGCTATAAAAAGAGAATTTCTAATAACATATTAAACACAAAAGCCTCTAGAAGTATTAAAAACGAAAGCTTTATTTAAAGAGACATGGTTTCTATTGAAACATTGAGAGCACTTGGATAAGAGGTTTGTCCTAAATGGTATTTTTATATATCAAAAATCTAGTTTTCCAGTGTGAAAACATGTCACTGCAGTAAAAGATGAATTCATGAGCCTTTCTCTATATCTGTAAGAGGTGTGTATGTTACAGGTTAAAGAGTTGCTTCCTTCTGTTTAAACCCTATTAGCAATTTTTTACCCTTCCCTTAGGATCAAAGGCCATGTTTTACCTGGCTGCAGCCGTGTCCGATTTCTACATACCCGCCTCAGAGATGCCTGAACACAAAATCCAGTCTTCCAACGGGCCTCTTCAGGTAAAAAATAAATAAAAAGAGGATGAAAGTTCTCACTAATGTTCACTGTTGGATGAATAAGTATTTATTACTAACAGATAAAGTAAAAATAAATAAATAAGAAAACTGATCTTTTTGGATTTAAGGTACACATTTAGGAGTCCCAAACTTCTCTCATTGAAAATTCAAAAATATTAATGAAAGAAAATCCTCCACTTTGATAAAGGCAGATTATAAAATTGCCAGATAGATATGCCAGATGTTTAGTAAAATGCAAGAAGTAAATTTTGGATGTTATTCTGAACATCTCCTGGTGTGGACCACTGATCTCTATTTATCCACTGGATTCAGAAAAGAATTTTAGTCACCTGCCACCATCTTGGTACTCCCCACTTTCACCCAGTCACGGCATGAACATACTTGTAATGTAATTACCATAACAATGTAATAAATACATGTATATATTACATGTACATCATCAGTGTGTTTATGTGGGTGTAATATTCTTAATATCTGACTACAGCAATATTATGCTCCATTAACACACTAATTTTGTTGTATTGAAATTTGTACAGTATATTATATTACATGATTTATAGACTTTATGGACTTCATACTGAATGTGATGTGCCTATTTTTTTAACCATAAATTACAATAATCTTCAGATATTATGAAACGGCATATGTCAAAGGGATGAATTTATATTTTTTTAAAGTCTTAAGCCCCCTGAAAATAAGAAAATCATGGTTGTTCGATGATGTAGCGCACATTTTTTACATTTTGAATGCTCTGAGTATCAATATCGCGGCTGATGACTTAGCAGCACCCTGTACCACCAATGGCCCATCAACAATCCAGTCAATTAACAGATCGGTGGTTTGGACTTCCTGAAATCGGTGGTTCCCACTCTGACCTAAGTAACTTCTTGTTGTTACCTAGCAACCTCAACAGAACAAAAAAAAAAAAAAGTTTCTGATTGTCCTATATTTAGATCAGAAGTGTTACTCTTATTAGTTTAATGACTATCACACAATGAGACTGAACGCCTGTTACTGTATGATCATCCAGGAGGATTGAATCCTAAAAAGTCAGCGACTCGACGCAATCAGCAGGGTTTCCTTTTAAAAACTTCCAACTTTCTGTCTGCATGATTTTATTCCATTTTCTCTGTAAAACACCTTAAAATAACCAATTTGTGGGTTGAAAATATGTAAACTGAAACCTGAATTCAAGAGATAAAAATATCCTGTCAAGAAGTTTAATTATAACTTTAGTCAAACTGATGAGATGCAGGGAAACCAAGGTTTTTCCTTTCCAGCTTCCACCTTGACTGAAAACTGTAGAAAAAAAACAGAAATGGGCAAACATTTTTTGAACTGACCAGGAACTTCAGTCTTTTCCAACAGAATGTTAAGTGGAATAAAAGGGGGAAGAAAAACCGGAGTCTATTAAGACCCTCAATCCAGAGACGCAATTAGAACTATAGTCTCATTTATGATTTTTTTTTCCCCTCTTCAGCTCAGCATGAAGATGGTTCCTAAGATCTTGTCACCCCTCGTTAAGGACTGGGCGCCTCAAGCGTTTGTCACATCCTTCAAGCTGGAGACGGATCCCAGCATCCTGCTCGACAGGGCCCGGCGAGCCCTGGACACGTACAGACACCAGGCGGTGGTCGCCAACGTGCTGGACTCCCGGCGGGGTTACGTGGTGGTCGTGACCCCGGAGACCCAGGCTGACCTGGTCCTCACTGAGGAGGAGCTGAAGAAGGACGTGGAGATAGAGGAGAGGATTGTGAGCAACCTCACATCGGCGCACAGCAGCTTTATAACTGGCTCACAGAAATAATTAGCTTAACTTGTCCTGATTAGGATTAGTTCATACCTGATTTTCCCTCTACAGTCAGTTTCTGAATACAAACAGATCCAGCCGCTTATTGTGCGTGTTTGAATGTTTATTCAGGTTATCAGTAAAATATGCATGATGTGTGGATTGTTAACTGATAATGAACATGTACATCAGTGCGGCTGCAGCTCCACACAGTCTGGACTCGCTCCTGGTTACTTAAGCTTGGTGCTTTTCTTGACGCCGGCCCGAATACCAGACACTTCTCCGCCATAACGAGTTTCCTCCCGACGAACCTCCCGAACCTGGTGAGAAGAATCTGGTTCAGTACCTGATGACTCCCAGAAAGCTGTAGATGTTCTAATCCATGCGTGTGATACCAACCTGTCCCTTTCTGCGGATTTTGGCCCGCCGGTACTTTTCTCTGTGTTTGACTCTGGGATTACGGTCTATCTTCTTTCTCTTGGGTGTCAGCCCCTTGTTCTTGGCCATCTGTGAAGGTATCACATTTAATGATTGTTTTAGGTATGAAGAGCTATTCACATACGAGTGGTCGTTTACTCCTGAGACAGTTTCCAAATAAAACTGAAGCACCAAATGTTTCTGCTGTCCAACTACTCACTGCAGATTACATCAGCGAGACCCAAAGGAGAGTAAAAATGTTCACTTAAAAGGTAATTCAGTTTTTGTGTGTTTGTTCTGGTACCTGATAAGTGATTCCTCTTTTGGCATCTGGATCCAACTCTTCATCTCCCTGATCCTCTTCCTCATTTTCTTCCAGCCTGCAGATTTAACATTTTCTTTTTTAGATAACCATCCAGCTTCATATCTACAGGCTAAAGACTCAAACCAAACTCACTCTTCTGGATTTTTGCTCTTCCTCTTCAGTTTCACCCGTTCCTCCACTTCTTTGTAGAAACGCAAAGCTGCCTCCTCGTCCAAGTCAGAGTCGCTGCTCTCAGGTGGAGTTTCCTCTGAGTCCTGCATCCAACCACATGTTGACATTTAAGATCCAACAGTTTGAGACGGAGAGGCGGATTAATGAGCTCTGAACGAGCAGAGAATACGGCACCTTTTCCTTTGGTGTTGTGGCAGTCTTCTCTGTCGTTCTGCTCACACGTTTGACTTTCTCATTTGCAGTGAGAAGTCTGCGAAATTCTGGAGCCAGATGAGCATCTACTGCCGTCAGTTCATTGATGAGCTGCAGGCGAATCACAGTAGAAGGTGAATAAACTGTTAATAACCACATTAAATCTCACCTCACCAAAGAAAAGGCAGATTACTAAGTTCCTATTGGACTCATCTGATATGAAGTAATAAAATATCCAAAGGTGGTGTTTTAACTCCGACATTGGTGGCCAATGCTCTTTCACAAAATAACCAATTTCAATATCTCCAGTAGGACGGGAAATATGGTGGCTTAAAACACACAAATCTCCTTTAGACTGTAAAAGTTAACACTTTTAAACATCCTTCAGTAACTCAGGAGGATTAAAGCAAAGCTGTGAGTCAAAGAGAGATTGCTTTGAGGCCGAGTTGGTGGGTAGGTTTGAAGCGGCAGGTGGGATCGGCAGCACGGCGCTGCTAATGATGCAGCCTGTCGCTGTCCTCCCAGCAGGGCTCCAGTGTTTGAGAAAACTGGGCTGTTTTGAAGATGGTCTCTCTTCAGCGTGTTCTGCTGAGCTGCTTCCTAAAATGGCCTGATGATTGTGCTGGTGCTCAGGAATTAACACTGAAACATTTAGTGCTCCTTTTAATATCAGCTGATTTAATATAACTACCAAAATCCACCGAAATGATCAAGAACTTTAAGTTCGATTGGGAGTTTAACCAAAATATGGGATTTTGTTCCAGGTAGTGAAAAGTGGAAGCAATTTATTATTGAACTACACATAAAAGTAAGATTTCAGTGGGTAATATCCAGCCCAACCACAGAGGGAAGTTTACACTCTTGAGGAACAAAGTGCAAAATAAAAGTAGTGTGTTTTTTTTTTTAAACATCAGAGCATTTACTCTTGGCCACCCTGCATCACCAGCAGTGTGCAGACATACGTTTCTGTAGGTGAGCAGCCGTTCTATCACAGGGTGGTTGTGTGCAGGGATCCGTTTGGCTTTCAGCACCAAGTAGAAGCTGATGTTGGTGCAGTAGCTGGAACAGAGAAAACACTCGTTAACTGCTGAGCCTCCTCTCTTCTCTGACATGTTACAATCTAATCAGGACTCACTTGAGATAAAGTTGCTGTTTTGTCTGAAGGTAGTCCGCCCCCTTTGGAAAACAGGATGAAAGGAACTGATTGGCTTTTTTATACTCGACTGACCAAAGGTTAACAGACAGGGTTTATTTACAACAAGCTTAAAACAAATTGTGCAGGAATGAGTCTCTCCACAAAGTGGCCTCTTCTAAGATTAGATTAGATGAGCTTTATTGATCTCACAGCGGAGAAATTTACGGAGAAACAGTGGTTTGGTTTAGAGGCGGTTCTGACCTTCCCTGCAGGGATCGTCCCATCTTTGACCATCTCCATGAGGGGCTGAAGCTCGTCCTTGAGCTCAGTGAGCTGCACACACAAACACAGATGAGTTGACGTCAGCTTCTGGAGGTTAGTGAGGTTTTATGAGGGTTGGTAATAAGCTGTACCTTTGCTTTGAAGTCATGAATGAGCTCAAGGAGCTCTGGGGATTCTTTCTTCAAAAGCTTCATCTTTTCCTTCTGAGACATCTGCTTCAAATCCTTCACAATCCTCTCCTGTTTCTCTGCAGGTTTGTCCTCCTCCTCCTCCACAGCAAACTCCTTCGATAAAACGGTCCCAGTGAAAAACCTCAACCAGTACGTGACCAACTTTTTTGAAGATTATAGGGGGGGGTCATTTGTAAATACCTGAAAACAGCTTAAATCATAATCCTCCTCGCTCAGATTGGCAGCTAAACGTTTCTGGATATTTTTGGCTTCCTCTTCTTCCTCCTCTTCCTCAGCTTCCAACTCTTCCTGTGATTTCCCCTCTGCAATAACACAAAGGGTTAAAAGAGTACCACAATATCGCCCGTTAAAGACACTGCTGATCAGGTGCTTACTGGTGGTGATGTAATCCGAGTTGTAGAACATTTTCTTTTTGGTTCCCCACGCCATTTCATTAGGAAGGTCTGAGGACAAAAATATTTGCTTAGAAAGAAAAACTAAAAAGCTGAACGGAAAACAAGGTTTAACAACCCCAATCTTTACCTTCTTCTTTCTTCTCCTCTAAATCACTCTCCATGTCGGATCCCTCTTCTTCCGCCTCCGACTCTGAATCATCCAGAGCCATCACTTCCTCCTTAAAAGTTTGGACACGTTTTAGTTTGGGGCACCTTTATTATCCAAATTACAATCAGGACAAAAATCATAAATCAAAACCTCATCATCTAGCTCCTCTACGTCACTCTCCATCTGAACTCCACGAGCGAGAAGTTTCTGCAGCACAACAGAATAGACAGTGAAAAACAAAACAAGAAAAACGTGACACTCGCTAACAACTGCGACCACAGACTTACAGCGATCTTCTCGTCGTGAAAATTGTCGATCCTGTCCTTGATGAACTCTGACGATTTCTGTCAAATAAAAGCATGCGATCTGAATCAGTTGAGCAGAAAAGATCTTTGGCTGTGAGGGTTGATCAGATATTTATGGTTCTTCAGTATAATCTCCAGCATGGCCTTGTTGTTTCAAATGTATAGATAATCAAACCTCAAATCACAGAATTCTCAAAAGACCCAAGTAATGTGTGTCAGAATGCATTCCCTACTCTAAGAAAAAAAAATTAATAACTGTATAGAGCAAATCTAAAACATCCAGAACATAACCCCTTCACCTTTTGCCACCTGTAAGCATCAAAATTGGACACCAGGGTCTAAATTTTGGTCAAACCCTTAATCTTTTATTGTCTTTTATTTACCCAAATCTGTAAGTCTGTTACTTTATTTAAGCGGCAACAATTGGGCTGCACAATATATCTTACATACACTATATTGCCAAAAGTATTTGCTCACCCATCCAAATTATTGGAATCAGGTGTTCCAATCACTTCCATGGCCACAGGTGTATAAATTCAAGCACCTAGGCATGCAGACTGTTTTTACAAACATTTGTGAAAGAATGGGTCGCTCTCAGGAGCTCAGTGAATTCCAGCGTGGAACTGTGATAGGATGCCACCTGTGCAACAAATCCAGTCGTGAAATTTCCTCGCTCCTAAATATTCCACAGTCAACTGTCAGCTGTATTATAAGAAAATGGAAGTGTTTGGGAACGACAGCAACTCAGCCACGAAGTGGTAGGCCACGTAAACTGACGGAGCGGGGTCAGCGGATGCTGACGCGCATAGTGCGAAGAGGTCGCCAACTTTCTGCAGAGTCAATCACTACAGACCTCCAAACTTCATGTGGCCTTCAGATTAGCTCAAGAACAGTGCGCAGAGAGCTTCATGGAATGGGTTTCCATGGTCGAGCAGCTGCATCCAAGCCATACATCACCAAGTGCAATGCAAAGCGTCGGATGCGGTGGTGTAAAGCACGCCGCCACTGGACTCTAGAGCAGTGGAGACGCGTTCTCTGGAGTGACGAATCGCGCTTCTCCATCTGGCAATCTGATGGACGGGTCTGGGTTTGGCGGTTGCCAGGAGAACGGTACTTGTCTGACTGCATTGTGCCAAGTGTAAAGTTTGGTGGAGGGGGGATTATGGTGTGGGGTTGTTTTTCAGGAGCTGGGCTTGGCCCCTTAGTTCCAGTGAAAGGAACTCTGAATGCTTCAGCATACCAAGACATTTTGGACAATTCCATGCTCCCAACTTTGTGGGAACAGTTTGGAGCTGGCCCCTTCCTCTTCCAACATGACTGTGCACCAGTGCACAAAGCAAGGTCCATAAAGACATGGATGACAGAGTCTGGTGTGGATGAACTTGACTGGCCTGCACAGAGTCCTGACCTCAACCCGATAGAACACCTTTGGGATGAATTAGAGCGGAGACTGAGAGCCAGGCCTTCTCGTCCAACATCAGTGTGCGACCTCACAAATGCGCTTCTGGAAGAATGGTCAAAAATTCCCATAAACACACTCCTAAACCTTGTGGACAGCCTTCCCAGAAGAGTTGAAGCTGTTCTAGCTGCAAAGGGTGGACCGACGTCATATTGAACCCTATGGATTAGGAACGGGATGTCACTTAAGCTCATATGTGAGTCAAGGCAGGTGAGCAAATACTTTTGGCAATATAGTGTATATGTCAACACTGCAATATTATCATCGTTATACGTTTTTGGAGTGTTGTTTCTACTAAGCTCAGAGTAAAAGAGTGATGAAAGCTCAGATAAGAAGGTAGATTCCAGTTCAACTGTCATCACAAGGCTATCCATCATCAAGCAGCATAAAGCTACAGTATATTTATAAAGATTTCCTTCAGCTATATCCTCCTCTCTAAGATCAGGACTGTCAGATTTTTCCAAAATAACCTCCCCCTGATGATCAATGTATTTGCCATCCCTTTATTACTTAAAAAAAAAAAAAAAAAAAAAACAGTGGCTTTGATTGTTATTAAAAGTTCAAGAAGTCAAAACATTGTATCAGGATGTTTCTATACAGATAAACCAGGTAATTAAGGCATAGTGGAACTATATATCCATACTTAGAAATGTAAATAAACAGCTGCAGCTACAGTGATATTTACAGGCTGACGCCGTTTTCCTACCTTATCAGGAACTGGCATGTTTCTGTAGGCTTCAGGGTCATCTTCATCATACTGTTCCACCTTTTTAGGCCTCCTCTGTTTTTGAGCTCTACAAAACAACAACACAAACATGTGGATTTAAATCTGCTGCACTCTCACACTACTTCTCCTTGGCTTGATTTCTTCCAGGTACCATCAATAATTGTAGACTTCTTTGGTTGCAAGTTTGAAGAACCAACAGCCTGTGCTGAAAGGCTGGAGAGATTCATACAAACAAACAGACTAATTCAGGAAAAACTCACCGTTTCGCTCGAACCATGATGCTAGCGATCTGAGCTGAACTGAAAAACTTTCCAAATAAAACAGGGTGAAATCTTATAAAGGGATACATACACTTCAAATATACATTTGGGTCGCAAAGGTTCCAGTCCAGACGCTGGGTACCATGTGCTTCCGTGATGTCTTATTCTTCGGTTTGAACCGGAGAATACCGCCACCCGCTGGAATTTCGCACAAGAGCACAAGAGGTCTTGTGCGAAATTCTGTTTCCCCATGAAAATCTGTTCCCCCTGTGTCGGGAGCGCGCATTGCAGCCAGAGAGGCGGATCTGACCATTCTCAAGGCGCTCCTGATCATTTTTCGCTAAAAACAGCTCATATAATCATCTCAACTTTGTAACATCCATTTTAATCGGTTGCTCTTTTTAAAAAATTGTAAAATAAATACATTAACGAGGTCCTCTTACGCTGTTTTGTGTTGTTTTTTTTAAACGCCAAGAGAATCGGTATTTCTCCAACTTTTGTCCCTTCAGCCTGACAGAAATAAACGTCAGTCACCGAACACAACAACACGTAGTGTATTTTTAATTTTTCATTGCTGATATAAGAGGATGGAAACTGGCTGATAGCAGGGCACACAAATTAAAACGTCCTGCGAAGATGAGAGAAGAATTTCTGGTTAATCACCTTCTAATGTAAAATATGACAGATTACTGGATTAAGGACATTTATAGTATATCACATCACACATATCAATTTTAGAGAAATTGGAAACAGTTGCTCTTTGTTTCCCAAAGATATGGGAGGAGGAGAGGAGAGAATGGATGTTTCAGCTGCCTGAAATAATCTGTTCCCCCTCCATAACAGGGGAAGAAATTGATTTACCTGCAAGTCTTTAACTGTGCTTATTCCCCTTACCACCAAGAACAAATCCTGCGGATTTGGTCATATTTACTCTTTATTTGCAAAAATTAAAGGGGGGAACCATATATTTCAGCTGCCTGAAATATATGGAACTGTTTCCAATTTCTCTAAAATTGATATGTGTGATGTGATATACTATAAATGTCCTTAATCCAGTAATCTGTCATATTTTACATTAGAAGGTGATTAACCAGAAATTCTTCTCTCATCTTCGCAGGACGTCTTAATTTGTGTGCCCTGCTATCAGCCAGTTTCCATCCTCTTATATCAGCAATGAAAAATTAAAAATACACTACGTGTTGTTGTGTTCGGTGACTGACGTTTATTTCTGTCAGGCTGAAGGGACAAAAGTTGGAGAAATACCGATTCTCTTGGCGTTTAAAAAAACAACACAAAACAGCGTAAGAGGACCTCGTTAATGTATTTATTTTACAATTTTTCAAAAAAGAGCAACCGATTAAAATGGATGTTACAAAGTTGAGATGGGAAACATAATATATGAGCTGTTTTTACCGAAAAATGATCAGGAGCTTCTTCAGAATGGTCAGATCCGCCTCTCTGGCTGCAATGCGCGCTCCCGACACAGGGGGAACAGATTTTCATGGGGAAACAGAATTTCGCACAAGACCGGTGTTATGCCCAAAAGTGCATGCCTGCCGAAATATGCATCCCCAGTCGCGGGAGCGCGCCTCGCTCTGTTGAACTGCATATCGACGAGGAAAACGGATTAAAATATGTTCAATGGAGCTTAGGTTCTTATATTAATGATATAAAAACGTTTAAAAATACCTCTCGTGGGAAAAAAGTTGTGGTTATTTGGCAGATTAATTTACAAAAGTACGGATTTTTTGAACAACATTAAATCCAAAGATTTTGACCATGGTACGGCTGATTTATTTGTTGTGGTCTCTTGCTATTTACACACAACACTAAACCGTGATAGCCGAAGTGAGTTTTGAGTTTGCAAAGCTTTCTCTTAAGTGGAAAATCAAACGCGCAACTACAAAGCACAGCGTTCACAGACCAGTGAGATGCGTTCGCTGCGCGTCAGAAAGCTATGGTGCATTCAGGAGCATTGGAACATTTTAAACTTACAAGAATGAGGCATAAAACAGAACTGTATTGTTTTTTTTGTTTTTTGTTTTTTGTTTATGCACATCTGCTAGCTTTTTATTCTAAAAAATCTATAATATTACAGCAGCAATTTATCAAAGTTTTTCAAAATCCTGTTTAAAAGCTCCAAATGGGGCTTCAGATCATATGAAGCAACAATTGCACTGTCATTGTTTTACAGGGCAGTATTTGCATTTGCTGATCCTTGTACTTAATTACTGATGAATATAAAGGAATACAGATGTACAAGTGTCAACTCCTCTGAGATAGCAGGGGATGGAATTTTTGGCAAGGACCTGCCAAAAAATGCATCCCCCTTGTTTTTAACTCAAAGATTGTCCCACACACATGAAATTCACACTGGTAGCTCAGCACACATGTGGAAGCAGGTAGAAATTGAAACATCAGCTACAAATCTATATTTCTGGAAAAAAGCAGGGGATGCAATTTTTGGCAAGGACGTGGCCAAAAAATGCATCCCCCTTGTTTTTAACCTAAGGACCTGCCAAAAAATTCATCCCCCTTGTTTTTAACTTAAAAATTGTCCCACACACATGAAATTCACACTGGTAGCTCAACACACATGTGGAAGCAGGTAGAATTTGTCACATCAGCTACTAATCTATATTTCTGGAAAAAAGCAGGGGATGCAATTTTTGGCAAGGACCTGCCAAAAAATGCATCCCCCTTGTTTTTAACTTAAAGATTGTCCCACACACATGAAATTCACACTGGTAGCTCAGCACACATGTGGAAGCAGGTAGAAATTGAAACATCAGCTACAAATCTATATTTCTGGAAAAAAGCAGGGGATGCAATTTTTGGCAAAGACCTGCCAAAAAATGCATCCCCCTTGTTTTTAACCTAAGGACCTGCCAAAAAATGCATCCCCCTTGTTTTTAACTTAAAGATTGTCCCACACACATGAAATTCACACTGGTAGCTCAGCACACATAGGTAGAAATTGAAACATCAGCTACAAATCTATATTTCTGGAAAAAAGCAGGGGATGCAATTTTTGGCAAAGACCTGCCAAAAAATGCATCCCCCTTGTTTTTAACTCAAAGATTGTCCCACACACATGAAATTCACACTGGTAGCTAAGCACACATGTGGGAGCAGGTAGAAATTGAAACATCAGCTACAAATCTATATTTCTGGAAAAAAAAGCAGGGGATGCAATTTTTGGCAAGGACCTGCCAAAAAATGCATCCCCCTTGTTTTTAACTCAAAGATTGTCCCACACACATGAAATTCACACTGGTAGCTAAGCACACATGTGGAAGCAGGTAGAAATTGAAACATCAGCTACAAATCTATATTTCTGGAAAAAAAGCAGGGGATGCAATTTTTGGCAAGGACCTGCCAAAAAAATGCATCCCCCTTGTTTTTAACCTAAGGACCTGCCAAAAAATGCACCCCCCTTGTTTTTAACTTAAAAATTGTCCCACACACATGAAATTCACACTGGTAGCTCAGCACACATGTGAAAGCAGGTAGAAATTGAAACATCAGCTACAAATCTATATTTCTGGAAAAAAGCAGGGGATGCAATTTTTGGCAAGGACCTGCCAAAAAATGCATCCCCCTTGTTTTTAACTCAAAGATTGTCCCACACACATGAAATTCACACTGGTAGCTAAGCACACATGTGGAAGCAGGTAGAAATTGAAACATCAGCTACAAATTCATATTTCTGGGAAAAAAAGCGGGGGATGAAAATTTTGGAAAAGGGCCCCTGCCAAAAAAATCCCTCCCCTTTTTTTTTAAACCAAGGGGCCCTTTGCCAAAAAATGCATCCCCCCTTTTTTTTAAACTTTAAAAAATTGTCCCCCCACACATAAAAATTCCACACTGGTACTCAGCAACACATGTGAAAGCAGGTAGAATTTGTCAAAAACAGTTTACAAATCTATTTTTCGGGAAAAAAAGCAGGGGATGAAATTTTTTGGGCCCAAGGGAAACCTGCCAAAAAAAAAAAAAAAAAAAAAAAAAAAAAAATTTGCACCCCCCTTTTTTTTTAATTTAAAAAGATTGTCCCACCCCACATAAAAATTCACCTGGTACCCTCGGGCCACATGGGGAAAGCTTTAGAAATTGAAAAAAATCAGCTACAAATCTAAATTTCTGGAAAAAAGGGGGGGTTTGGCAAATTTTTTGGCAAAAGGACCTCCAAAAAAAAACATCCCCCTTTTTTTTAACTCAAAGTTTTGGCCCACACACATGAAATTCCCCACTGGTAGCTAAGCACACATGGGAAAAAGCGGGGTAAAATTGAAAACAAAGCTACAAAATTATTTTTTCTGGAAAAAAAAAAGCAAGGGGATGAAATTTTTTGGCAAGGACCTCCAAAAAAATGCATCCCCCTTTTTTTTAAAACCTAAAGGCCCTGCCAAAAAATGCACCCCCCAATTTTTTTTAATTTAAAAATGGCCCCACACACATAAAATTTCAAACGGGTAGCTCAGCACACATGTGAAACCCAGGTGAATTTGTCACATCACTAAAAATCAATATTTCTGGAAAAAAAGCAGGGGTTTGAAAAATTTTTGGGAAAAGGGGAAACCCCCCCCAAAAAAAAAATGCACCCCCCCTTGTTTTTTAATTTAAAGATTGTCCCAAAAACATAAAAAAATTAAACCAACTGGATGCTCAGCCACCCCATGTGGAAGCAGGGGGAAATTTGGAAACATCAGCAAAAAAATTTATATTTCGGGAAAAAAAAGCGGGGATGAAATTTTTGGCAAGGACCCCCCCCAAAAAAATGCCCCCCCCCCTTTTTTTTTAACTAAAGATTTTTCCCCACTCCATGAAATTTCACACGGGTTAGCCCTAAGCACACATGGGGAAAGAAAGGTAAAAAATTAAAACCATCAGTAAAAATTTTAAAAATTTCGGGAAAAAAAAAGCAGGGGATGAAATTTTTGGGCCCAAGGACCTCCCAAAAAAAATGCACCCCCCTTTGTTTTTTTAACCTAAAGGCCCTTTGCAAAAAATAAATCCCCCTTTGGTTTTTAACCCAAAGGGAAAACCGCCAAAAAAAGGGCCCCCCCCCTTGTTTTTAACTTAAAAAGGCCCCAAACACACTGAAATTAACCCCGGTACCTAAAGCACCATGGGGAAAAGCGGGTAAGAATTTGTCACATCAAGCTCCCAAACCCTAAAATTTCGGGGAAAA